CAGGCCTGGAGCTGGCTGCCGTCTCCGAGCTGAGTCATGACATCCTGGCTAGGGCCCCTCCCCAGCACCCCACCCCCACCCCAGCATTCCAGCTCAGTACAGCCGCGTTCCAGAGCAGGGTCCTGAGAGCCACACCATGTCAGCCCTGCCCACCCCCTGTACAGAGGGGGAAACTGAGGACCAGAGAGGGGCAGGACTGTACTACAGGTGGATGACAGAGCAAAGACGAGAACCCACATCCCCGTACTCCCAGCCGGGGATCTGTCTGTCCCCTGCAGTTTGTCCCAGAGGCTGTGAAGTGCTCCCGGTGTGGAGGACAGAGGACCAGCCTGCTGGTCAGGAGACTGGAGTGTGTCCTGTTCTGCCAGCATCTGAACAGATCGCTCCTGTGACACTTCATTCCTTTCCTGGCTGGTGCAGCGCAGGAGAAGTGACCTTGACACAAAGGCCTGTGTATGGCACAGAGGGTGGGGGTCCTGTGTGTGGGGAGGGCAGCAGCTGTCGTCTGAACCCCGAGGCCCTGAGCCACCAGACCCACATCCGCGGCAGTGATGAGGCGAGGGCTGCCCAGTGAGGTGAGCTTCAGCTCCCCACTGGCCACCTGACCCAGTCAAAGCACGGGGACCCTCTTGTCCTTCTCTCGGGCCGTTTCCTCATCTGCACAATGGGCCCGAGCAAGGGGGTGGGGAGACAATGATCCCTGCGGACCGCGGAGCTCTGACATTCCAAGACTAACCCCACGACCCCACGGCCAGGCCTCCTCCTCCTTCTGGTATCTTATTTATTCAGAGCATCCCTGGCACCCCCTCCTCCTCCTCAAAGCAGGGCTCCCTCCCATCCCCGTCTTGAGGCTGTTTGTGCCCAGCCTGCTCCCTGCTGGCAGACTGTGTCCCTCTGTCCCTTCAGGTGCCCACAGCCCCTCCACAGCCTCAACCAGCCGGTGGCAGCCCTTAATCCTGCCCCTTCAGTCCACTCTCGTCTCGGAAAGCGGCGCTGTCCCCACTTACCCACAGCAAGCCAGAAATAGGGGTGGGCTCACCGATGACACCTCTCTCTTCAGCCCCCAACATCTAAGCAACAGGCTGTAGTTCTCAGCTAGATAAACCTCAAGCCCATCTGTTTCTATCGCCCCGCCCCCCAGCTCAAACCTGGTGCACAGAGTGGAGCCGAGCTCTCCGCCTCGGTGCTCTCTGTTCCCTGTTCCCAGGCAAGTTCCTTGCGTGCTCCCTGCCTCAGTGTCCCCAACCCAAACAGGAATGATCATTGTCTCTGTCTCACAGAGTTGGCCAAGGAGCAAGCGCGTCCATGCATGTCAAGTGCTTAGGACAGCACCAGGCGCAGCAAACGCAGAACACGCTGGCTCTGTGGCCGGTCTGTGCACACACATGGATGTGTTCCGGGGAGCCTGGGGTCCTGTGTGCACACGCGCTGTCTTCACGTTGTATGTGCACAGGTTGTTTGTCCTGGGTACACATGTGATGTGCCACATACGCGTGCACCTCCGGTGGGCACTGAGAGAGCACACAGGCGCCAGCTGGTGCTGTGAATACGTGTGCTGGGCACCGTGGGAACTGCACGGTGCGTGTTTTGTGTGGGTGTTGCGTGCACATGTTGAGTGCCTGCGTGAGGGCCGGCACACACATGGTCCGCTGTGCACGGATGTGTTTCCGAGAGTGTGTGAACGAGTGCGTAGGCAGGAGTCTGTGCTGTGTGTGCACGTGCTCGCGGTGTGCAGGCCCCCCCGCTGGCAGCCGTGCAGGCCCCCCTCCCCGCTTGCTGTGTCGTGGGAGCCTCAGGACCCTGAGGGAGAGAGGCTGCTGCCGGCGGATGTGGCCAAGATGGGCTGGATTTATTTAGATTAAGGCGGTGGGAAAGGAGCGGAGACTCGTGTGTGCAGGAAGGAGCGAAGGCTGGGGCTCTGAGAAAGGTTCCCCACGCATGCTTGCTCCCCTGGACTCGAGGTCCTCACTCTGCTCCCCCAAGGGGGTCCCTCTGATTCACTGTGAGGAGCTGGGTAATGACCCCATCTTTGGACCTCTGTCCCCAACCTGGCCAAGATAGGAGGAATCATGAGGGCTTCCTGGCACTCACCATTCTCTTCACGGGCAAAGGGGGGACTCCCTGAGGGTCCCCTTCCTCTCTCTGCTTCAGGGGCCACCCCAGGCAGGACAGAAGGACAGGTAGGGGCATGTCTGTTCCCTGACTGTAACACTCACCTGGTCCCCGATGGCTCCTCCCTGGAGCACAGCCCTCCCCCTGAAGAAGGGGAGCATCACAGGAAAGCTCACCCCCCAGTCCGCCGTCTGGGCCTCTCTGGGCCTTGGAAGCCTCTGGGAAGCCCAGAGAGGCCCACGAGGCCCTGGGTGGACAGCTGGGGGTGTAGGGACTCATCCGAGATGGCCCAGGAAGTCAGGTCCATGGGCCTCAAGAGGCACTCTGGTCCTTCCCAGTCCTGTGGCCCGTTGTCCATGCCCCCTCCTGGGTTTCCCTATCACCAGTTCATTTGTCGGAACGTCAGCTGAAAAACTGAAGCCCAGACAAGGAAACAACTCATCAAACTTCACACAGCCAGTCTGTGACCACATGGTCCAGGAAATTCAGTCCATGAAATGAGATGGGTTATTCTCACATGACTCCAGCCTCAGAAATGCAGCCCCCTTCTTCTCACTGGGCCCCCCACCCCACCCCAAACAACCCAGCAGGAATAATAGTGCCTAGAGCCTTCCCCTTAGAACAGGGATGGTTCGTTGGGATGACCCACCCGGATCTCTCCCTGTGTGGACGGAGACACAGAGTCCCAGGGACAGCATGGGGCTTGCTCAGTCTCACGGTGGGTCTGAGGCCCCTTGTGACCAGAGTCAAATGCCCGTTTCGTAAAGAGAGAAGCCAGTCTGCGATCCCTGGGACATCTGTACTCTCCTCACCATGGCTACACTTTCCCCGAGCTCCTTTGGCCAGCTTATCCTTACCCCACAGCCTCATTCGTCTGCCTTTTTGCTGTGTGACTGGGCCATGATTCTGTCCGTCTCTGGGCCTCTGCTGCCCAGAAGACCCCTCTCAGCTGAGAGTCTCAGAAACTCTAAGCCACCCCCAGGCCAGCAGGAGAGGAGCCAGGGTCAGGGGCTGCTAGCCCGGGGGGGGGGGGGCAGCCCACACGGCCCAGCCTCCGGAGCCAGGCCAGCCCCACTTGCAGTGACCTCCCTTGTCCAGGCCAGCCGACCAAATTCCTCCTTTAGAATAATAAACAGTGTGGCCAGCCAAGGAGGCTGAGAGGGGAGGGGCCGGGAGGCTGAAATGACCCCCTCCCCCAGCCTGGGCTGCTAATGATTTTCTTTGGCTGAGATCTCTGGCAGGAAGGGGGGAGTCAGAGGGGCACCCACAGAGGGGCAGATGGGCCTCTGTGGGGGCTGCTGGCTCCACCATGGCGCTGCTCCCTCCCGCTGAGGGAGGCCTGGCATCCAGCTGGAGGGGCCGGGGCAGGAGGGATGGGAGAAGGGCTAGGCTTTCCGTCTGGAGCGATTGGGAGAGGGGAGAGGGGAGAGGGGAGGAATGAGGGGACCCTCAGGCAGGCTGCTCTGAAGGGTTAGGGAGAAGGAGAAGAGCAGCTTCACTCAGAGAGCTCATTGGGGTGCTGGGCAGAGCTGAGACCGAGGGTCCACAAGCCAGGATCCCTACCTCTGCCCCACAAACACAGCGCTGTAAGGGGTACACTCAGCATCATCCCATTCTGAGACCTGGAGACTGAGGCCACAGATACAGCGATGGCACAGAAGGTAGCCCTGCTGGGGCTCGGACCAGGTCCCCTGGCCTTGGACTGGAAACTACCAGGGGTGAGGTTGGGGTGCAGTAGGGGGGACCTGGGTGTGGCCTGAGGAGTAGGCCAGGCTGGGCAGCCGCTCAGGGAAGTCAGCAGACCCACAGCACCAGGAGGCTCCGCGCTGCCTTGTCACGTGGCCACTGCCCACATTTCTTGCTTCGTGACCCCCATCACTTCTGGTCTCCTTCCCGTCCAGGCTGCAGGCAGACCCTCGCAAGCCTGGCTACTGGTGGTGACTTGGGATCCTTGGATGGGGCGGCCACAGTCAGTTATAGAACCGAGACCCGCCCAATTCATTCTGTCTTCCAGTGAGTGTCCCTGCTTCTGATTCTTCGTCTCCATCACTGTGTCCCCTCTCTCCGTCTGTGTCTTTGTCTCTCTCTACCTTTCTCAGTCCAGGTCTCTCTGTCTCTCCCTCGGACCAGCTCTGCTGGGTAACCTTGGGCAAACGTCTTTTCCTCTCAGAGCCTCAGTTTCCCCATCTGGACACGAGGGCTGGGGGCTTGGATTCAGTGGTCTCCCCGGGCCTTCCAAGGCTTGCTGTGCAGTGGGGCCTCCCAGGGACCCAGCCCCTGGCCCCTCTCTCCTGGGCCTCCTTGTGCTGCTCAGGACCAAGTAAAGGGGGCCAGGCGTGGGGGTGCTCCCCCCACATTCCACAGCCCTGACTCCCCCGCTTCCCTTCCCACAGCCACCTCCACTTCCTGTTGTGCTTGCGGAGCTGTGGGAGTTCTCTGGGCTCTGGCTTACCCCCTCCTTCTCCTCCAGGCCTTTCATCACACTTTCCCAAATATTTGTCCTGGCAGATAAGAGCCTGGTATTGGAACTGTCACCCGGAGGACAGGCTGTTAGAGCTGGCGGGCCTCTGGACACCATCCAGCCAAGTCCCCGCCCCACTGTACTTACAGAGAAACTAAGGCCCAAAGAGGTGGGGGCTCAGCCAGGGTCACCAGAGAGGTAGAGACAGAGCCAAAGGAAGGCCAGGCTCCTGAAGGCAGAGCCTAGTGCAGCGGGAGGGGATCTGTGGTCACGGGGACCCTCTCGGCTATGGGTAGCCTTTGACTTTGGCCCCATGGACGTGAATGGCTCGGGCCGGGGCTTGCTCTGCAGAGCCCAGATTCGAAGATGGGCCCTGGCATTGCTTCTGCCCGCCCTGGGCCCTGACTGACCCTGTTTAACCCTGCAGGACACCATGCTGCTCCTGAGTGCAATGCCAGCTCCTGTGCTCAGAGGTAGGTAGGCTGGGGGCAGGGGTGGGCCCGGGGAGTCACTGAGCAGGACCCTGGCTGGTAGGGGTGGCGCACGCGAGCACCAGAGCCTGGGATCCCAGGGGCACTGCTATGCTTTCGAGCCTCAATTTCCCGCCTTTCCAGTGGGTCTCAGTGGGGGCCACCCCTCAGTTCACAAACCTCAGTGGACACCCCGCTTGCCCGAGCCTTCAGCTCGAACGCTTTGCTTGGCCTTCCATACCCCACGCCCCTCCCCAGCTGTCCCCACCCCACTCACTCAGAGTCGCCCACAGCATCGGTCCGGCCGGTCTGCTTCCGGTCTGGGACTGCTATCCTGCCCGGACCCCTTACTGGCTGCGAACTCCCGAGTCCTGGCCGGGCTTCTCTCAGCACACCCTTCCCTCACTCCTGCCTGGCACACGCAGCTGGCCAGGCACTCAGTGGTCACTGGCAATCGATGACTAGGTGACAGCTTACCTGAGGATGGCTGATTGGCTGGGGGCTGTGGCTTATAGAATCCTTCCCCAGGGGATGTCAGCAGGACAAGTGGAACCAATCACTTGACAACCCCCAACTCCTGTCCCCTTGAGTTCCCAGGGGCCTCAGCGTCTCTCCTGCCCCGGTCTGCCCAACTCTGAGCTCCCTGCCCCGCCCTCCCCGAGCAGGGCCACCCCTGGGCTTTGGGCAGAACCTGGGCAGCTATGGCAGCTGTAGGGAAGAGGCTCAGAGAGCGACCTGGGAACTAATGCAGGAACTGGAGGCCGGGAATTGCTTCCCGAGGATTTCCTGACCCCTTGTGAGAACATGCCCACAGCCTTCAGCTGCCGGCTGAAGGGCTCCAAGGCGGGGGGCCGACAGGCACTGACATCAGGAGGCCAGGAGGCCCTGGGGACCGGGCGCTGAGCCACCAGGCCTCAGAGTCATGGGTTCCAGTCTATGTTTGGATTGGGGAGGTGTGTTTTTCAAGGGCTGTGCATGTGTCAGTTCTGGGGAGCGGTGTGGAGGGCCTGTGCTCTGACATCCGACGCCTCCTCTCCCCAAGGCCAGGCGCTGCTGCTGCCCCTGCTGTTGTTGCTGGGACCACAGGCCTCCGGAGGTCTGGTCATCACACCTCCAGGGCCAGAATTGGTCCTCAATATCTCCAGCACTGTGGTTCTGACCTGCTCGGGTCCAGATCCAGTGGTGTGGAAACGGATGTCCAAAAAGCTCCCACAAGAAATGACCAAGACCCAGGACGGCAATTTCTCCAGCATCCTGACGCTGACCAATGTCACTGGGATAGACACAGGAGAATACCTTTGTACCTATAATAACTCCCATGAGCTGGAGGCTGGTGAGCAGAAACGGCTCTACATCTTTGTGCCAGGTAAGGCCCTGCCCTGTGCTCACTCCCTTGCACAACTGCAGGCATCTGGGGAGGCTCAGAGAGCGCTTCAGCGACACGGTAAAACAGCCAGCTTAGAAATGCAGACAAATCATGGAATCCAGCCTGGCTCAGTCCGGGAGTATGTGCACTCCCACCCCTTGGTCTGAATATCTATCTGCTCCCTGCCAGCCCCCCCCCCCCATTCCTGGGTCCTAAGAACTCTGCATTCTTAGCTGGTTCCAATATGCTTCCTCATTCTCCAAGCTCCAGGTACTAGCTGCCCTTCACCTGGTGGCTTTCCCGCCCTGCTACTGTCCATACCAAATGTTAAAGTTAGAAGGGCGTCCTGGCCAGTTTGGCCCAGAGGTTAGAGCATTGGCCTGTGGATCAATGAGTCGCGGGTTCGATTCTGGTCAAGGGCACGTATCTCAGTTGCAGTTCGGTCCCCAGCCCTGGTTAGGGTCGTTCAGGAGGCAACCGATCGGTGTGTCTCTCTCACATCGAATGTTTCTCTCTCTCTCCTCCTCCCACTCTATCTGCAGATAAATGGAAAAATCTCATCGGGTGAGGATATTTTTTTAAAAAGTTAAAGCTAGAAGGGACTTCTGAGAGCATCCTTATTCTGTAATGGGAACACCAAGGCCTAGAAAGGGATAGAGGCCCGCTCGAGGTCATACAGCAGTTGAGGGGCAAGCCAGAAACCCAGCTCCCCCTGACCTTCATTTTTGCCTCCCAACCCTGGCAGATCCCACCATGGGCTTCCTTCCTATCTACCCCGAGGAATTATTCATCTTTCTCACGGAAGTAACTGAGACCACAATCCCATGCCGAGTGACGGATCCACAACTGGTGGTGACCCTGCATGAGAAGAAAGTGGATGATCCACTGCCCATCCCCTACGACCACCAACGTGGCTTCTTTGGGACCTTTGAGGACAAGACCTATGTCTGCAAAACCACCATCGGGGACAAGGAGGTGGATTCCGACCCCTACTATATCTACAGCATCCAGGGTGAGTCCCCTTTCTGGCCTGATGCTCAGCAGAGGCAAGTGTGACCATCCACAGAAGTATAGCCCTGTCCAGTTTACAAAGTGTGCTGTTCCATTTTCCACGGGATTCTCATGACAGCTTTCAAAGGCAGGTCATGTGTCTCCATTTTACAGACGAGGAAACTGAGGCTCAGAAAGAGGAAGGCAATTGCCCAGGGTCAGTGGGATGCATTAGTGGGGAGGGGGTGGGATACAGTGGCGGGCAAAGGCAAGGCTTTGGAGCCAGCTGGGTTTCCATCCCAGCTCTGCCACTTCTGCCTCAGTGACTTTGCACAAGGCACACTGCTTCTTCTGCTGCGAAATGGGATTATGGTAAAGATTAAATAAAACAGAAGATGGAATGTATCTGGTACATGGTTATGTTCAATAAATTGCCTGGAGAGTACTTTGATTTCCAGACTGTTTTTCCTTCTGGAATGTCAGCTCCACTTGGACAGAAATTCTGTCGTGTTTACTGCTGAAGCCCCAGTGCCTAGAATAGGACTTGGCATAGAATGGATGTTAAATAAATAAATATTTGTTGAATAAGTGAATCCTCCACACCAGTCATCCCTTCCCTCTCTGGACTCTGACCCCATCCCCAAACTGAAGTGCTGGTAGCTGGTGGTGACTTCCTCAGACCTAAGCCAGTCTCTCTCCACCAGCATCATCCATCAATGTCTCGATGAATGCAGTGCAGACTGTGGTTCGCCAGGGGGAGAACATCACCATCACGTGCATTGTGACTGGGAACGAGGTGGTCAACTTTGACTGGACGTACCCCCGTGAGGAGGTAATGCTGGGTAAGGGATTGGAGGAAGGGCCAGGCAGGGATGGATATCTTGAGTGGCAGCCTGACTTCTTGGATGCTTCCTGATTTGGGGGACTTGCCGCACCTGTCCCTGCAGAGTGGACGACTAGTGGAGCCGGTGACCGACTTTGACATTCCCTTCCACATTCGCTCCACCCTACACATCCCCGGTGCCGAGCTCGGCGACTCAGGCACCTACATCTGCAATGTATCTGAGAGTGTGTACGACAATCAAGATGAAAAAGCCATCAATGTCACCGTGGTTGGTAAGTGCCTTGGGCTCAGCCCCAACCCTCACTCTGAGCTGGACCCACATCCTGTCACAACCCTGAGATACCGTCAGCCACATGTCAGCCCAGCTTAGCCACAGTGCCAACCAAAGCTCCATTTCCAGGAGAAACCCAAACCAAACTGCAGTGCCAACCCAAATTCCAACCCTAATCCCTTCTAAACGTTCCTCCTCGCCAGAACCCAGGCCCCAACCCAATTTCTAATCCCCGCCTGTATCTCAGACCCAGGCAGCCCCAGCCCTAAATTCAAACTGAAACTCATCTCAGCCCCAATCCTGCGCCATACTGGCCCAGTGAGAGCTACACCTCCAGTCTCAACCTTCAACCCAGCCTGCAAACCTGCATCAGCCCCAAGTTCGGCCAAGCCCCAGCCCCAGCCTCAGCCCCAACTTCGATCCCAGCTCCGGGACTTCCTAAAGCCTGAGGCCCTGCCTCCAGAAGCCCCGCCCCCAGGCCCGAGCGTCGGTGGCCCCGCCCCTGACCGCCGCCCCTTGCAGAGAGTGGCTACGTGCGCTTGCTGCGGGAGCTGGACGCTGTACAGTTCGCGGAGCTGCACCGGAGCCGGACGTTGCAGGTGGTGTTCGAGGCCTACCCGCCGCCCACTGTCATGTGGTTCAAGGACAACCGCACGCTGGGCGACTCCAACGCGGGCGAGATCGCCCTAGCCACTCGCAACGTGTCCGAGACTCGGTGAGCGCCGCTTGCCCACTCCATTCTTGAAGTTACGGCCTCCAGCCGCCAGGCAGCCCACCGTCTTCAGCTACTCGACACTCCGAGGCCCATCGTCCCTGAGAGCTACTACGTGCCAGGCACCGTGCCCGGTGCTGTGCCAGGGCCTGGGGATGCTGCAGACCACAGGGCACACAGTTCCATGCCGCCTAGAGTTTCCTGTCCAGTGGGGAAACAGACACTGTTGGGATGAGCACCTAGATGTGTGGTTGTCCTTGTGATGGGTGGAGCCATGGGGCAGCTGAGGAGAGAACAGCAGGATGATGAGGAGGAGTGTCAGGCAGGCCATTCCACCTCTGCATGGGTGGGCAGCCCCGAGGCTGGAGAGGGGCCGGCTGACCTGAGGTGCCCTATGTTAGGATACAGCAGTGTCAGGCCCTTCTGAAGAAGAGATGCTGAGGAGGAGGGAAATGGTGCTATCCCTTCACCCCTCCCCCACCCCTGCTAGCCCTCCCTCTCGGCTCAGTGGAGCTGCCTCTGGGTGGGATCCAGGAGACGAATTCTGTGGGTGTGGGTCCTGGCTCTGCTACGGGACCTGTGTGACCTTGGCAAGCCCCTCCGCCTCCCCGGGCCTGGTCTGTACAAGGAGGGTGGGGAGGGCTGTACGAGTTCTTCCAGCTCTGACCGCTCGGTCTCCTGGCCTGGCCTGCTCCCCAGGTATGTGTCAGAGTTGACACTGGTGCGGGTGAAGGTGGCCGAGGCTGGTCACTACACCATGCTGGCCTTCCACGAGGACGCTGAGGCCCAGCTCTCCTTCCAGCTGCAAATCAATGGTGAGGAGCCCTCCACCCTTCTTTCCTCCCTCTCACCTCCCACCCGTCTCCTCTCCCTCCCTGCACTGTCCACCCACCCACAGGAGGGGCAGGAGAGGGAGCCCGGCGCTCAGGAGACACGGTTCTCCTCTGAGCTCCGACACTGACCCACGGCTCTGTACACACCCTTCTCTGGGCCTCAGTTTCCCCAGCTGCAAAAGTTGGCCACTGGGCTAGAATGGTATTTGTAGGGCTAGAAAACCTCAGGCATTCATGTGCCAAGGCTGAGACTTTTCCTTCTCACATACCACTGACGCTACACTACTAATTACATAGATATTGAGCAACTGCAGTGTGGCAGCCTGTTCAAGGTTCTTGAGGCCCTGCTAGTGGGGGAAGACAAATATTCAACAGTAGGGGCAAACCCCCAGCAAATCATGTGGCAGGTTAGAGGGTAACAAGTACCGTGAAAGAAAGGGAAAAGGCTGTGGGGTGGGGCTTGGGGGAGGATTGAGAGTTCTGGGGGCAGGGATGCAGACTGCAGGTGAACATTCAATACGAGGAATGGCCGTGTGAAAACTGACCTCAAAAGGTGAGCAGAACATAAACAGCAGTGATGGGGTTGGCCTCCCCGAGATGACAGTTGTGTGAAGACTTGAAGAAGGTGAGGGCATTAGCCAAGTGGCTACGTAAGGGGAGGGTGGACCAGGCAGTGTGAAGACAGGAGTGAAGGCCTGAGTGGCTGGAACAGTGTGATGGGGAGAGAGGTGGGAAATGAACTCAGAGCTGGGGCAAGGTAGTTAAGGTGTTGGGGGGGTGATGATTGTATAGGTCACGATGGGCTCTTCTTTTCCTGTGACTGAAATGAAGAGTCACTGCAGAGTTTTGAACAGAGGAATGACATGATAGTGACTTCATGTTTTGTCAATTGACTTTCTAAAAATTTATTTTGAAAGATAATTTAACCTCTCGATCGGAGGTGGAAAATCACTGTTACATGTCATAAATATAAAGCAACCACTAGATAAACTCCAAGACAACAAAACAATGCTATTTAATTCTAGCTCCAGGCTCTGGCCTTCCCGGGGCTCTGATCCGCAGCCTGCTCTTTCTTTGTTAAAAGGGAAGATTAGCAAGTCTCAGAGAGGTGTTAAAGACAGACTAGCACCCTACTGGGCTTTCCCTTTGAAGTACCCAGAAGGGGAATCCGCCAGTTTTCACACGGCGATTCCTAGTACTTAATGTTCACCTGCAGTCTGCAGCACCCCTCCCCCCAAAGGAGACTCTGGGCCACGTCCTTCCTCCCTGAGGGTCTTTCTCACCGTCTCCTCTCACCTTCCGTCCTCCTGGCCCCTTGCCTTCTCCTTGCAGTGCCTGTCCGTGTGCTGGAGCTGAGTGAGAGTCATCCTGCCAATGGGGAGCAGACGGTCCGCTGCCGCGGCCGGGGCATGCCTCAGCCTCACCTCATCTGGTCTACCTGCAGTGACCTCAAAAGGTGAGCAGCACCTCTGCCTCAGTCTCTCGAGGTACCCACAGCTGGCTGGAAGGACCCACTGAAGGTCATGTAGTCCAGCCCCTTCCTCTGGGCACATTGTTCCAGGCTAGAGTCATATCCTAGAAGATGTGGCTTCGTGGAGATGGCTTGCGTGACCTGAATTGCCCCTTTTCCTTACCTTGACTCTGAGGGTCAAACGAAGGAAATGGATTTTGTGGAGTAGGCGCGCCCCCTGCTGGTCAGTTATGGGTACCGCAGGAGAACCAGCTCAGGACCAGAAGGTGGGAAGTAGCAGACTAAGATGCTCATGTTCTCCTTATACCACAACTTGGTGGCACTGCCTGCTTTTGGCCTCAGTCTCCCCGCCTGCAGAGGGCAGAGACTGGAAGCTGATGGCTGGCTCACTGGGCAGGTGTCCGCGGGAGCTGCCGCCCACGCTGCTGGGGAACAATTCCATGGAGGAGAGTCAGCTAGAGACTAACGTGACGTACTGGGCGGAGCAGCAGGAGTTCGAGGTGGTGAGCACGTTGCGCCTGCACCGCGTGGATCAGCCACTGTCCGTGCGCTGCACGCTACGAAACCTGCTGGGCGATGACACGCAGGAGGTCATCCTGGTGCCACAGTGTGAGTTGTTTTGCCTTAGTGGCCCCCCACTCCCCTCGAGCCTGTGCCTGTGTGCCCACAGCCAGCCAGAGAAAGTGTGTCCGTGGACACTCAGGAGCTTTGTGAAACCCACCAGAGTATATTCTTACAGACTTACACAACAACACAGTATTGGCATACCTGTACATCCACAAGTATATGTCTATAAACCATGGCTATGAATAGCAAGCACTATCTCCTTATGCCTAGTGTATGTACACTATGTGTATGTCCTAAGCCATGTGCATGAGCATGCCTGACCCTTGGACATGGGTGCAAACCCTTCAAATGTAGATTTGTAAACCACGTAATGAAGAATGCACTCAGATACACATGTAAAGCCACGAGTATATGTCTATGCTTGTACATGTGGGTGCACAATCCCCATACAAGTGTGAAGACAGTGCATGTACAATTTCTGTGCATGTGTGCAAACTGGCATAGTGCATGTCCATAAGCATAGAGAAGAGAGGTAAGCCACAGCCTAGCCACCAGGAGCCTGCATCTGATCTGAAGCTATGGCAGACAGTCCACACTGACCCCTGCAAGGGCGGAAGGGGTAGGGAGGTCAATAGTGATCTGAGCAGGGGGTACTTATTGACAGACATGGGGTATTTATGGGAGAGACTGAAGGTTTGACCCAGAGGGAGAAGCTGAGGGTCTGACATTATAGGCTGTGGAGAGGAGTGGGAAGGGGCTTCTGTTCTGGGATGGGTGGGCAGACAGGGATTTGTGGTACCAGAGGTGGGATGAGGAAGGCAGCTGCCAAGTGCCCTGTTGGCTTACGGCCAGCTCTTGTCTCTGCCTCCAGCCCTGCCCTTCAAGGTGGTGGTGATCTCAGCCATCCTGGCCTTGGTGGTCCTCACGATCATCTCCCTCATCATCCTCATCATGCTCTGGCAGAAGGTAAGCGCCACCCTTGCCTAATGGATACAGACTGGCACACCATTGTATGGTGTGGCTGCCCCCTGCTGTCCGTGAATCCTGCAGGATTTGGCCATGTCTGGCCATGTCAGGCCCAGCACGGAGTTCAGGTGTGAAATGATATAGAGTAATAATGCTGGATGTCTGAGCTGCCTCCATCCCCAGCAGCCTGGGCCAACATGGGCCTGGCCTAGGCCACCAGGGTTCCCCTGTCTGGGTCCTGCACAGACATCATTCCTGCCCATCCCAGACACAAGGTGTGGGACTGCTGGGTAGACTACCTGGGCTGCAGGATTCTTCCAACTCTTACCCACAGAGACTCCAGGATTCCTCTGAATTGCGTTCTAATCCTGTCACTCTGTAATTTTCATGTTCTGTTCTGAGATTTCACCATTCTATGCTTCTAACATTTTAAGATTCCTGAATTAGGATTGCAGGGCCCCATAGCCTGTCTTCCTAAGAGTCCAGCCCAGTGATTCCAACACCTCATGGTCTCAACATCCTACGGTTACACCTTTCTGAGATTCCTGCTGTGTGTGACCTGGCGTGGAGAGGGGCCCTGCCTGGGTCACTTGCTCCTTTACTCCCATCTGAGGAGCAGCTGAGGCTCTGAGAGGAGCTGGGGAAGAGATTCTGATGAGCCAGGCCCTTGGCTGTCAGCTACTCCTCAGCCACTCCCTAGCTGGGGCCCCTTGGCATCGGTTCCCCTTCACTGATAAAGGTGTTGGCTCTGTGCATAACTTGCTGTATGACTTTAGCTAAGTCCCTGTCCCTCTCTGGACCTCTGGTTCTCCTGCTCCATCTGTTCCGTAAAGGACTGGACCTACTGTGCCTCATGGTCCCCTCTGATGACCCCTCCCTGGTCTTGGTCCTGCAGAAGCCCCGCTATGAGATCCGATGGAAGGTGATTGAATCTGTGAGCTCTGATGGCCATGAATACATCTACGTGGACCCGATGCAGCTGCCCTATGACTCCACCTGGGAGCTGCCACGGGACCAGCTTGTGCTTGGTCAGTCCGAGGAGACCTCACGTGGCAGTGTGTGGACTTGAGGAGGGTGGAAAGATGATCTGAAGTCTGGTCCCAACTTTGCCATGACTAGCTTTGAGACTTAGGGTCAATGGATGTCTTGCCTTCTCTGGCCCTCAGTCTCCCCCTCTTTACAGTGGGGACAAGATGGTCCCCCAGAGACCATCCAGCATTAAGGTCCTGTGATCCCATGACTGTGTGAGATTGGGCCCCTTTGTGACAAGAGAGGAAGTGTTAATTGAGCATAGGCCGAGTGCCAAGCCTGTGCTTAGTCTAGCTGGGAAGCTGAGGGGTACAAAGGAGCTGGACTCCCCTCTGGGGAGGGAGGAAGGCTTGCAGGTACTAAGATGAGCCGGAAAGCAGATAGGACTTAGATGAGACACCAGGATGCACTGTGAAGTGCTGTGATTCTAGGATCCTCATTGGAGGAACACCTTAAGTCCAGGGTGGTTCAGGATGTCTAGGCTGACCTCAGAGAGGGTGGGGATGCAGCTCTCCCGTGGGCCAGGAGCTGAGGCATCATCTTTTCCCAGGACGTACCCTGGGCTCCGGGGCCTTTGGGCAGGTGGTGGAGGCTACAGCTCACGGCCTGAGCCACTCTCAGGCCACGATGAAAGTGGCGGTGAAGATGCTGAAATGTGAGTCCTGTGCACCCCCACCTCTCTCCTGCCCCTCGCCACACATCCAGGCGTCCCCAGAGCAGCGCTGGGCACAAGGAGTGGTCACCTGCAGCCAGCCCCGTCTGGATCTGCTCTGGGCAAGAAGCGTCCTCCCCCGCCCCTCCTCTGGCACCCCCCCCCAGTTCTCTTTCCCCTCCCTCTGCATGTGGGTCTTACAGCACAGACGGGGGCAGAGCCAGAATAGGGTCCAGTGGGCCTCCATGGGCCTCAGCGCCGGTGCCAGGCCTGAGGCCCCCTGTCTTCCTCAGCCACGGCCCGCAGCAGCGAGAAGCAAGCCCTCATGTCGGAGCTGAAGATCATGAGCCACCTCGGGCCCCACCTGAACGTGGTCAATCTGCTGGGAGCCTGCACCAAAGGAGGTAGAAACCCACTTGCCCAGAGGATTCTGGGAAGTGCCAGTAGCCAAGGCCTGGCCCCTCTCCACCCCCTCCGTCCAGTGTCTGCCCATCCTGTCCAGCGCCATCACTTTACAGAGCCAGATGGATACGGGATTAAGAAAACACACAATCACAGCACCACCGAGGCCAAAGGCCTGTTCAGGTCACGAGTCCCAGTGGTTCCCAAACCAAGGGATCCTCTGACATTTAACAATTTCTGCAATACATTATTAGTTGAATTTATCGGGGTGACACTAGTGAAAACCACACAGGTTTCAAGTGTACAGCTCATTAAAACATCTGCGTACTGCATCATGCGCTCGACCCCCAAAGTCGAGTCTCTCTCCTCCACCACTTGCCCCCCTTCCCCTCTTCCACCTGCCCCACCCCCTTCCCTCTGTCTGTCACCATACTGTTGTCTGTGTCTGCTTTTTGTTTTTGTTTTCCTTAATACAATACATGTTAACCATAATAAATAACAGCTCACGTGACACTGAAATGAGTTACATCCCCACTGTTGGAGGCTACCAGCCTGCTAACCAGGAGCTCCCTCATTCAGATCATAGAATCAGGTCTTTCTGGCTAAGTGTGTTAATTTGAAACTCTGATCGCAAGTTAGGCTGTTAGGCTGCAAAAAAAAATGTTATTGCCATTTATAGCTGCTTATGGTGAGGTTGGAATTTTTCTCAGTATTGTGCAACCAAAACAAAATACAGAAGTGCATTGCACGCACAGGCTGAGTTATGTCTGCCATCATCAGCCCGTTTTATAATTTTTGTTTTTATTAACATGTTTAAGTTGCTACCTATTGATTTTAAGAAAATGTATTTGAATTTAAGCAGTAACCTGCTAATAAATAATTGCCACTATTTACTTTATCAACTGGGCTCCAACATAACCTTTAGTTTGACAACCTATCAACAATAGCTAACACTGTGAGCTTGCAATGTACCAGGCACCGCCCTTTGTGGTGGCTATTACTGGCCCCATTTAACAGATGGGGAAAGTAAGGCTCGGGGAAACTAAGTATCTTGTTTACGGTCACAGAGGCAGGAAATGACCCAGGTTTGCCTGGAGACAAAGCCTCTGTTGTATCAAGCTGACTCTCCCACACGCCGCCGCTGTCCTTAGCCTCATGGACTGTATGGGAAGCCTGAGGCCTCCCCGGAGACTGATCCTGAGCTTGTCCCCGCTCCGCAGGGCCCATCTACATCATCACCGAGTACTGCCGCTACGGTGACCTGGTGGACTACCTGCACCGCAATAAGCACACCTTCCTGCAGCACTGCTCAGACAAGCGCCGCCGGCCCAGCGACGGGCTCTACAGCAACGCCCTGCCCGTCGGGCTGCCCCTGCCCAGGTACCGGAGGGAGTTGGGCAGGCCCGAGGAGCATCTGCTTGCTCCCTCCTGGTCCAGTACAGGAAGCTGAGGCCAGGGAGGCTAGAGTGGACCTGGGGCTTGCTAACCCCAGAGAGCATGACAATAAGGCTGATGATAATGGTGGGGTCGGCTGCCACCTACTGGCTGTCTGCAGTGTGCCAGGCCCGGCACTAAGCACTCTGCAGGTGTGACCCCTGGATCCCTCACACGGGCCCTATGTTGTGACACCTTCCTTGCTTTCCACACTGAGCACTTGGGGCTTTCCTGTCCCCAGCCTGACTTCATGCTGTCCTCCTTGCTGTAGCTCCCACGCCCTCTGCACACCAGCCTCTCCAGTGCCCTGAGGTCAACGCACCCCTTTCTTCTTCTTTTCCAAAAAGAATGTCTTAGTTCTCTTTCTGATTACAAAAGCAATGTGTGCTTATTGCAGAGACAAGAGTAACTATAGAAAAGCATTAAAAGACAGTAACTCATCCCTGCCCTCCCCAACATTTTGATGCGTTTTTCTTCCAGTCTTTTTTCTGCCTATAGAGACGTGTGCATGGTCTCACAGCTCTCTGGGAGCCGACGCTGCAGAGGGGCGCTAGGGCAATGCGCTGCCCACTCGGGGCTGGGGCTGGGCATTCATGGGCACTGTGGCTGGATGGTGCTGTAGAGGCCACAGAACGGTACCTCTGTACACACCCTTCTTGTGACCCTTGCCTGGGAGTGGTGTAATTGTCCCTTGCCCTGAGCTCTCTGAGGACACACACTGGGTCTTACGTCATGTTGGCAGGCCCAGGGCCCCCCTCAGGGCCCCACAGTTTGGTTGAAAGGGCTCTCTACGAGGACACGCTCGTGGCAGTGACAGCCTGGAGGAGGATGACTGAGAGAGGGAGGAAACACCCGAGTGGCAGGGTCTCGCAGGCCCGGGGGAGAGCAGAGGGGCAGGAGCAGGAGAAGCCTGTGACCTCCGGTGACGCCCCCCTCACCCGCAGCCACATGTCCCTGCCTGGGGAGAGTGACGGTGGCTACATGGACATGAGCAAGGATGAGTCAGTGGACTACGTGCCCATGCTGGACATGAAAGGAGACATCAAATACGCTGACATCGAGTCCTCCAACTACATGGCTTCGTACGATAACTACGTCCCCTCCGGTGGGTGTGCAGTGTCCTCTCACCTGTGTGGCCCTCAGACCTGGGCAGCGATGCATTCTTTTCAAAGCCTGTCACACACCCAGCGGCCAACGACCCTGGGAGGACGCTGGCCTTGTGCTCATTTCATAGATGAAAAGTTGAGAGTAGCCACCTGCCTAAAGCTGCTGTGTGGAGCCCCATAGGAACCCATTTCCAGGTCTAGAGATGTGCACACAGCCCACACGGAGTCAGGGTGGGGGGAGCCTGGCCCCCTGGGCCCCGGGGAAGGGGGTCTGCTCGGAGTGGGCCCCAGGCAGATCGGTGCCCTGAGACTGGGCACGCCAGGCTGAGCAAAGGTGGCCAGAGCAAAGGCTAGCAGTTTTTCTGGACAATGATAAAGTAGGAGAGGTTTGCATGAGATAGTTGGGAATTGTGTTCCTTTGGGGGAGACTGGGAGGATCAGTAGCCCCTGTCTTGGACATTTAGCTTCCAGGCACCGAAGAGCAGGGTCCTGTGGGCCACGGGAAACGCAAGGCGGTGGGTGAGCTTCTGTTCTCCTCTAGCTCCTGACAGGACCTGTCGGGCGACTTTGATCAATGAGTCCCCAGTGCTCAGCTACACGGACCTTGTGGGCTTCAGTTACCAGGTGGCCAATGGCATGGAGTTCCTGGCCTCAAAGAATGTACGTGTGGTCACAGTGGGCAGATGGAGGTCATGGGAGGTGGGGCACCCAGCCACCAGGGTCCTCCAAGTAGCTCCACACGGTAGCTTTGTCCCCTCCGGTGGGTGAGGATGGTGAATGCCCTCTCACCTCGTGGCCCTCTCACCTGTGAGGCACCTCGTATGATGCATTTCCCCCAAAGTACTTGACATGGAGGGCTTTTCCCCACGAGTGCCACCAAGGCCTCAGCTCCCATCCTCCCCCCGCACCTCCAGTGTGTCCACCGAGACCTGGCAGCCAGGAATGTGCTCATCTGTGAGGGCAAGCTGGTCAAGATCTGTGACTTTGGCCTTGCTCGTGACATCATGCGAGACTCTAACTACATCTCCAAAGGCAGCGTGAGTGCCTCCCCACCCCGTGCCCTCTGACCCTCCTGGCCAGCATGGCTTCGGCTCTGGGAGATCAGCACTGGGCTCCTCGTGGTCTGACCTGCCCAGCAGTGACAGGCTCTGCCTGTGTAGCCACGGTGCAGGGACCGGGAGAGCCACCAGCTGAGCAAGGGGCAGGAGCAGGCGGAGATGCGGAGGCTTGTGGGGTGGGGGGAGCTGGGGCTCAGATTTTTCTGGTCATGACAGGGGGCAAGGGACGAGCTATAATGGGTCCTGGGGAGTTTGGAGGGGGAGCAGGCCAAATGTCTTGTCCCCACGCCGGCAGAAAGCAGAGGACGAAGCCAGGTGACAGGCTAAGACAGACGAACAGGTGGCAGGCAACATTTGGTTAAAATATGGCTATCCTGCCTCCCATTCGTGTCCCCACTTTCTCCGCTGGGACAGTGGACCCCAGAGCTGGAGGGACGCCAGGCCACAGAGGTCTGAGGCATCAGAGCTGGGTGGCACCTTGGCATGTCCCTGGCTCCCACTCCCCTCTGCTAACCCAGTCAGGGGTCAGGAAGGGGAGCCTGCTCTGTGAGGAGCCTCAGACCCTGGGGTTACCATGACCCCAGCTTGTGGGGAAAGAAACTCAGCCTCCCGGCCCTCTGGCCAGCCCTGGACAGGCATGGGAGCCGCGTGCCAGCAGTCAGGACCTCAGGGACAAGGGAGTGAGGAGGAGTTGGGGGTGGGAACTGCCAGGCCCCCTCCCCCCACCCAGGTACAGAGCAGGGCTCAGCCCCTCCTCGTACTCAGGCCCCGCCCTCCCGCAGACCTTCCTGCCGCTGAAGTGGATGGCCCCCGAGAGCATCTTCAACAGCCTCTACACCACCCTGAGCGACGTGTGGTCCTTCGGGATCCTGCTCTGGGAGATCTTCACCCTGGGTATGCTTCCTTCTCCCCGCTCCTCCCTCAGAGGCGGGCCCCGGCATCTCCCCCGACCCTCACGCTTCCCGCCTGGACCGGCTGTGAACAGGCCGACAGGCGTCGGGGTCTGGTCCAAGTCCCAGCTTGGCCACTTTCTTAATGTGTGTCCTGGGCAAGTCTCGTGCCCTCTCTGGGTCTCTTTACCTCCCCATCTGTGCGTCCAGGGGTTTTGACCGTAGCACCCAAAGCCTGCTTGGCTCCGTTACTCTTCAGCTCTCTGCTTCTGGAGAGGGTTGCAGTGTGTCCAGAGCCTTGAAGAAGCTCACATTCCCAGTTCCGAGGCCACCGCCCCTCGACCCAGCCCTGGCGTGAGGGTTCCTCACCGCTCTTTCAACACCCTGTGTCTCTCTTCTTTTGTCTGCTCCCTGACAGGGGGCACCCCGTACCCGGAGCTGCCCATGAACGAGCAGTTTTACAATGCCATCAAGCGGGGTTACCGCATGGCCCAGCCTGCCCACGCCTCCGACGAGATGTGAGTGTGGCATTTGGGAGGACTTTTTGAGTGCAAACGATTGATACCCAGCGTTACCAGCTTAAGCCAGCCGTAGATGTATTTGTTCAGATGCACAGAGAAATCCAGACAGAGCTGGATGCCATCCTCCTTCACCCCCTGGGCTCTGCTTTCCCTGTGCCGGCCTCATATCCAGGCTGGCACTACCCAGTGGCTACATCCTAGCTGCTTCCACCACAGTTCCTGCAAAAGGCCCAGAGCTGACTGTCATGGGCTCAGCTGGGGTCCCATGCCCATCCAGGACCAGCCCCTGAGCTGGCGGGATGCAAACTCCTCCTGGCCAGACCCGGGTCATGTGCTCACCCAGGTGTGGTCAACTCCATGGAACCACTGACCTGGGGCTGGAGGGAGGGCTTCCCAAGGGGATATCCAGGTGTGATCATGGGCAAACAACACCTGTTCGCCTCCTTCCCCAAGTCCTTTCACCGCTCACCTGTTCTGGGGGGCAGCTCCCCTCCCCCGCACCATGTCAGAGACCCTGACCCCTGACCCCTGCACCTCTCCCCAGCTACGAGATCATGCAGAAGTGCTGGGAGGAGAAGTTCGAGATCCGCCCCCCCTTCTCCCAGCTGGTGCTGCTTCTCGAGAGGCTGCTGGGAGAGGGTTACAAAAAGGTATGTTGAGGCAGGGTGGGGAGGGAAACGCAGAGTTCTGATCCAGACGTCAGACACCAGGTGCAAGGCTCTGTGTGACATGATGGTATTTGGGGGACCACCCTTTACCCTCTCTGGGCCTCAGTTTCCCTGCTGGTGCTAGTAAGGTATGGGCTGGAGCTGTGAGTTTATTTTAGCAGCACAGAGAGTTTGAGATGAAATCCCACGTGGAAGCCAGTGGGTTTAAAGCAGAGGAAGGGAGCCTGTATCCTCCTCACGCCTTCTCACCCACGCCCAATCTTGGGTCTCCTTCGGAGGTTTGAATTTCCCGAGGCCAGACGACTGCCAAGGGCCTGGCCACTTGGGCCCATCCAGGCTCAGACAAGGAAAATGGAGGCAGCCTGGCTGGTGTGGCTCAGTGGCTGCGTGTCCACCTGTGCACCAAGAGGTCACCGGTTCGATTCCTGGTCAGGGCACACGCCCAGGTTGTGGGCCAGATCCCCAGTGGGAGGCCTTCAGGAGGTGGCCAATCACTATTCTCTCTCGTCGATGTTTCTATCTCTCTCCCCCTCTCCCTTCCTCTCTCTCTCTAAAAATCAAGAAAGAAAAACAATAAAATAAAATGGAGGCAACTGGGCCTTTACACCCTCCCTGCCCACCGCAGGGACTAGAGGAGGGGATGCCTAGCTCCTTTGGCACAGACTTGTCCCTTCCCTAGGCCCATCCCTAGCGCCACTCCACCCCAGGTCGGGTACGGCGCAGGGACCGGTGAGATGGAGTGGAGTTGTCACCACTCGGTACTTAGGGAAACTGAGGCCCCACTAGGCAGGATGAGCGCCCACCACTGTCAGGTCTGAAGTGTTAGGGTCTCGGGTGCTGGTCCACTGACTGCCCCCTCCCTGGGTGGCCCTTAAGCTCACCTTGTCTTGGGAGCTGCCAGTGGGAGAGCAGCCCAGCTATACGGCTTTGGTGCAATTGCCCTTCCTTTCTGAGCACCTGTTGCCTGATTTCCACAAGAGGCGAGGGGCTGGGTCAGAATCTAACTGTTGGATGATCCCTGAAGGCTGCTCTGATCTGACCTTCCCTGTTTCTGGGGTTCCCCCGCCCCTCGGAGCAGAAGTACCAGCAGGTGGATGAGGAGTTTCTCAGGAGCGACCATCCCGCTGTCCTTCGGTCCCAAGCCCGCTTCCCCGGCTTCCATGGCCTCCGATCGCCGCTGGACGCCAGCTCGGTCCTCTACACTGCTGTGCAGCCCAACGAGGGCGACAACGACTATATCATCCCCCTGCCCGACCCCAAACCCGAGGTCGCTGATGAGGGCCCACTGGAGGGTTCCCCCAGCCTTGCCAGGTAGCCACTGGGGCCCAGAGCCTGCAACAGTGTGCACAAGGGGTGTGCGTGCGTGTGCGTGTGTGTGTGCGTGTGTTTCTGTGGCATCAGACTTGCCTTAAAAGTAAGTTGCCTAGAGTGAGCACTTATTCCTGCCAGTGACTAGAAGTGAGAATTGAACTCATTCGACCTCTGATGCCCTCAAGGGGAAAGGGCAGGTTGGTGAGAGAAAGAATGGGCTGGGATTTATCTGCAAGGTAGCGGTTTCCTTTGAGGGGGCCCTCGTAGGCCATCTGCTCTCCCCTCTCCAGGCCCTGTCCTGGCCCTAAGGAGAAGAGGAAAACACCTAATTAGCACCCAGCACCTGGTGTGCCCAGCCCCAGGCCTGTGGTCTGTCCCTCAGCATCACGCCTTGGGGGCTCCTGGGAGCTGCCTACAGGCGTTCAGGCCAGAATCCACACTGGGAAGGAGATTCCTGCTTTCCTTTGCTTTGGGATGTGGCGAAGTTAGCATATTGGGAGGGCTTTGGAGGAAGTCCCAGATACTGCCTGGACTTGATGTTCAGATAGGGTTCTTGCTCAGCTGGAGGGAAGGGTACCCCCATGAGGCCAGACCCACCCCCCAAAACAAGACCCAGCCCATGGTGAAGGGGCAGGAGCCCCACCTGGGTTCTAACTCCAGCTCCGCTTCAAAACCCGCCAGGCACTCCCCTCTCTGTGCACTAGGCGCCCCGAAGGCCTCCCCACCCTGTGTAACAGCTAACATCCCAGGCCCCCGGCAGGCAGTGTGCAGAGGGGTTCAGTTCATGCTGCCCTGACTGGCGGGAGATGCAGGTGGGAGAGCAGCCCAGCTATATGGCTTTGGGGCAATTGCCCTTCCTTTCTGAGCACCTGTTGCCTGATTTCCACAAGAGGCGAGGGGCTGGGTCAGAATCTAACTGTTGGATGATCCCTAAAGGCTGTTCTGATCTGACCTTCCCTGTTTCTGGGGTTCCCCTGCCCCTCGGAGCAGAAGTACCAGCAGGTGGGTGTGCATGCTTAGGGTGTGCATGCTGCCCTGACCGGTGCCCTCAGACCAGCTGCTTCCCCCTCTGAACTCCAGTTTCCTCCTCTGTAAAATGAAAACGGTACGCACTTCAGTTTGGAGGGTGTCGTGAAGGTTAGCGAGTGTGGTTTCAGGAGTGCGGGAGATGGAGGCCCTGAGGAGTGAGGAACAGGCTTTGGAGCCAGCCCGTGGCTGTGAGGTCCCTGTGGGGTGCAGGCAGTGACCACCTCTCCGGGCTGCGCTCTCCTCGCGGTGCCTGCCTCGCATGGTCTTTACAAGGATTGAATGAGCCGGTGTGTGTAAGGTACATGGCGCGAGGTCGGACACAAAAGCTCTTGATCGATGCCGTTGTTGTTTGACTGTGCTTCCCTCCCAGCCTCTCACTCACTTGCCTTGTCTCTCCAGCTCTACCCTGAATGAAGTCAACACCTCCTCGACCATCTCCTGTGACAGCCCCCTGGAGCCCCAAGACGAACCAGAGCCCGAGCCCCAGCCTGAGTCCCAGGTGGAGCCAGGGGCAGAGCCGGAGTGGCTGCCCGATTCAAACTGCCCCGGGCCTCTGGCTGAGGCGGAAGACAGCTTCCTGTAGGGGGCTGGCCCCCGCCCTGCCCTGCCCGAAGCTCCCCTCTACCTCCCAGCACCCTGCGCCTCCTGGCCTGTCCTGCCGGGCCTCCATCAGCCGGGCTGCTCCCATCCGCTGTCCCCTGACATGTGGCACCCCAACCCCTGGGGCTGGCTTAGGAGGCAAGAGACCTGCAGGGGAGGCCATGGGACTGAGCCAGGGTTCTCCCAAAGACTCAGTTGCCCCATCTGTAAGATGGGAAAGTTGGACTTGGTGACCCACCATCTGGGATTTTCCACCCCCCCCCTCCCCCGGCTGACAGGTGGGGAAGGTGGAATCCCTGGGGAGATTCTCAAGGTTCATGAGGTGGTATATGAACTTTTTTTCTGTTCAGCCAGCTACCCCTCAAGGAGCTGCAGCTCTCTTCTTGTCCTTTATCCACCTAAAAGCTGGGGAGGGACCCTGGTATCCCTGGCTCCTGGCTGAGCCGGAGCCTGGCCTTGGACAGCGTTGGCTCCTCCCCCCAACGTCAGTCTTTGCTCTCCCTGGCCCGAGCTGGTCTGGGGCCATCCATGCTTCGCTGAAGGCAGGGGCCGAGCCAAGTCCAGGACGGCTGGCCTGCAGCCCCTGCCCCGGGCACTCCGGGCGCACCTCCCCACAGAAAGCGCCCGTGTCCATGTCTCCCTGGCTCTGAGTCCTGGGGCCTTTTTCCTCATCACTGCCAGTCTTATTCCACCCAGAGTCTCCAGGCCAGACAGACCCGCATCTGTGATGAGCGTGTGGACATGCCTGTGGGAAGCATCCATACGTGAGGGCCCGTCTGTGGACCATGTGAACCCTAGACCCTCAGAGACCTTGCCGGAATCCCTTGCCCTCTCTGGGCCCTTTGTCCCTGTTGAAAAATGAGCAGGTTGGACTCATTGACTTCTGGTGCCCTGCTAACACTAACATTGTAGACTAGTCCTGGGGTTGCACACTTGCCTGGATAAAGCAAAGCCAAACACCCCAAACCTCCATCCTGGGGGTCAGCTAGGGTCTGGGGAGATGCCAGACCACACACCACACTCCAGGCACTCAGGAACTGTGCCCCCTCCTCAGTGCCCAGGCCTTGCCTCGGAGTGGCAGCCAGCATCTTGGAGAGCCCTGAGCAGCCGCCCAGGGGCGTGGGAGACCGCGGGAGCCTGTCAGCACCCGCAGCGACCTCTGCAGCTATCCTGGGCCAAGGAGGCAAAGAGGCAAATCAGAGCACCCGGCGCCGCCTTCTCCAACACCTGCTGCCCAGGTCTGTGCCGAAGACGATGGCAGTTAGGGCCCCGGGGGGCCCGGAACAACAAGGAGCCTTGGATGGGGCACCTGAGAAAGGGGTGCGAGAGGTGGGTACTCTAAAGGTGGCCTTCTCAGCTGCCAGCTACTCCACCCCTGAGGCAGTAGCCATGGGGTGTGGCTCTGTCACTGCCAGGGCCACTCACCTCACTGAATGCCAGCCACCCAGCCCAGTGGGCACCGAAGAGCTAACCGAGGGAAGGCTGTGGCCAAGACTGCCGGAGGGGGAGGGCTGGAGAGGGGGTGAGGAGAGACCAGCTCTCTGGGCATCAGCCCCTATGCTGGTTGGCACCGCCCTGCCCCGACTGGGTTAAAGAGAGGGACTGGGTTTTCACTACGGTACCAAAGATGTAATCACCTAGGTTTACAAGTATTTTTAGGACTCACATTAACTCACATTTATACAACAGAAATACTATTTTATATGACATCAAATTTCCTATCCGTGTACTTTTTTTAAGGGAAAGATTTTAATATTAAACCTGGTGCTTCTCACAGACTTCGTGGTCTCTGGCGGGTTTGGGTCCCTGTGCCTGGTTGGTGGCAGGGGTGGAGTGGGGCCCATGGGGCTCACCGCAGCTACAGGGTCCCCACACAGGTCCCTTCAGCAGTAAGTCTGGTTTCCATCAGTAAGATGGGGATTTTCACATCCCACCCCACCCCCACCCCTTGCTGGTAGCTGGGTGACCTGGACCAGACTTCGGTTTCTCAGGCTGGGAGCCCGGAAGGGTCTCTGGCTCTGCAGGTGCCTGGCCCTGGGGTGGGCGGGCTGTTCACAGGCTCAGGAGCTCGAGCCCCTCCTCCTGCCCCACCCCCCTCCACCCCACCCCCCTCCACCATGTGCTTTGGCTTTGGCTATTAAGCTGCCCCCCACCCCGCCCTCCCCGTCAACTCGGGCCAGATTGAGTCTGCTGTGGCCCACGAGAGGTGTCCACTGAGCCCAGATTCCAGGCCCGGTGAGTAATGGCTGGGTCTCAGGTCGGAGGGGGGCAGACAGAGCACCCAAGGGGACAGAGAGCAGGAAGAAGTGAGGAGACAGTCTGAAGGAGAAGGAAAAAGAGGAACAAAGAAAGGTGGGGGAGTGCGGCTAGGGCGAGGCCAGGGGAGGGAAAGGGGCCTGGCTGGGCCCTGCGGGCAGTCTTGCCAGGCCGGGCAGAGGGGTGCGGACTGGGCAGGCCCCCCACCCCTCACAACTGCAGTTCAGGGGTGTGGGGCTGGTGTGAGCCTGGCATCCTGGTCTGCTGGTCGACTCGGTACTGGCCATAGGCTCCACTGCCCGGCCCGGCCTGGAAGGCCCTGGCAGTAGCATGGGGCCAGGGACTCTAGAGCCACCAGGGCCAGGGGCCAGGGGCAGGGGTCCTCGACCCAGGTTGGACCTTCCTGAGCCTCCTGCCTGGGCCCTTCAGGAGAGGTCACCTGAGGTGGAACCAGGTTTGTCACACCTCACTGTGACCATGGCCATCCCTTGCTCTCTCGGAGCTGGGGGAGGGGCACCTTGTTCTGGAGCCTCTCCCTGGAGCCACCAGGAGTCTGGGGCGGGAGACATGGGGTGGCTCTGACTCAGGAGCAGCTGAGCCGTGCAGGGAAACCCCGCCAGACGCCAGGCCCAGCCCGGCCAAGCCCGCCTCCCGGGGTCCTGGCCCCAGAGAACACCCAGACCCCATGACCCCTTCCCTCCTGGCTGTGGTAGGAGAGGTATGCCAATACCGGGGTCTGCCCCTAAGGAGAGTAAACAACCACATTCCAGACGGGGATAATCCCCACTCGAGGGAAAAGCCTCCATCTGGAGGGCAGGAGACCTTGGCCCCCTCCACCTCGGGCCTGCTCCATGTCGGATGCTGCAGGATCACCACAGCAGGTCTCCATTACCCCAGCAGTGAGTGGGGCTAATGATGCTAGGAAGAGCTCGAGGATGATGAAATGCAGCTGGCAGCTTAGGGGGCCGTCACGAGGTGCCAGGCTGTCCTGCCGCTTGACACACACTTTCTCGCCGGACCCTCACATGAACCCCGTGAGCCGGGCACCACTACTATTCTCTACGACAAAGGAGAAACCAGCTCAGGGAGGTTGTGAACCGACTTCCCAACGTCATCTGGTCGGTCTGACAGAGACGGGACAGGGGCCTGGTCCGGGCCAACTCCCACATCATTGCTCAGGGAGGTGAAGCACTCAGCCAAGGTTCTGAGGCTGAGGAGTCCCAACCCCTGTCTCCAACTCCAGACCTCTCCGGCGCGGTGTCCCCGAGGGAAAGGATGGGAAAGTGCTGATAAGGGGAAGGAGCTCTATCTGAGTGCTAGGTAAAAATAACCAGAAAGAGTTCGGTGGAGGGCTTGGACCTCACAGACCCCTGTGCAGAGGGGGAGGTGTGTGGGGAGAGGGTAACCACAGGTCAGCCTCGCCACTCAGGCAGCCCCAGGAACGGGTGAGCTGGAATTTTCCTCCCAGACAGATGAGCCACTGGGACTGCACTGTTATTCCGCCGCCCTATCCACAGCCAGGGTCCTTGTTCCCGGAAAAAGAGGGAAAGACTGAAAGGAACTATTACTCCTGGGGCCCTGACCTTCAGCCCATAAGGTGCCTGACAACCCCCCATTAATGTCCCTCCTTTGAATTGGGGCACTGTCTCTAAAAGCCCTCTTTTATGTTAGTATTTTATTCAGTGCCATAATAATCAAAAATTACTTTTATAAAACACTTGTGTAACATTCGCCTGCGTTTAAAATATCCACTACCAAAATATGTACTATAGAAAGAGAAAGTCTTCGTGTGTTTTGTATTTTTGACTCCAGTAACATTGCAAGGGCTTGTCTTCTTTATTCAGCATCTCTATGTGTAGGAATTTATCTTACAGAAATTCTGCCTCTCACTGTTAATCATTCAGTTATATTCTACTAAGTGCTCCCACCCCTTACACCCATACTAATGTTTTATTTTGTGTTTGTAGCTATGTATACAGAGATAGAATTATCATGTTAAACAAAATTACCAACTGTTTTTTGCAACTTTTTTTGTTTTTCACTTAACAATGCATCATGGACACACGCCCAGGTCAGTGGTACATACGGATATTCGTTCATTCATTCTTTGTGAGAGCTGCACATAATTTGGAAGCATGCCCGAGCCATCAAATATTTAACCAACCCCCTACAAATGGACAGTTAGGGTTTCAGAGTTATAAATGATGCTGGAGTGGCCCCTGTTTGTGGAATATATTTATATTTGCACATTTATGTAAGTATTTTTTTCCATAGGATAAATACCTGGACACAGAGTTGCTGAGTAAAGAGAATAAACATTGAAAATGGTACTTGAGCCTAAAAAGTTCCCTTTAAAACACACACACACACACACACACACACACACACACACACACAATCATAGAGCTTCTGGGAGGCTAAGAAAATCAAACATAAAAGAGATGAAAATGACAGTGAAATCCCAGCGAGGTGCACTGGCTCCTAGAGAAAGTCTGGAGCCTCTTCTGTTTGTTTAAAGAAAAAAAAAAAAAGCCCCAGAGCTAAAGACGAAAGGGCACCAGGTGCAGACTTTCTGCCTGGTGGAGCCTGAAGGGCTTCAGAGGTGTCAGATGGGGAACTTGCCCGAGATCAGCTCCCACAGGTGGGCTCCCGGCCCTCATCCACAGAGGGCATCCCACCTGGTGGGAAACCCAGCATCCCCTAGCTGCCTTGGCTCTGCCCTGGACCCTCGCCGTGCAGAGTGTGTTCCTGTCGGTGGCCTCACGTGATTCTCACAATAAACCTATGAGACCAGCCAAGGGAAGATCAGTTCAGATGGGGACGCTGTGGCGCGGAGCCACCACAGTCACATGGGGAGAAGACTCTGACAGCTCGTGGTCCTTGCTGCCCGCTCAGGGTGTGGCTCCTGAATTCACTGGAGGCGGAGTGAGCTGCCCTTGGAGTTGGGTTCTGGGCTTTCTTTGGGCTGTGACAGATTCTTACATCTTAGAATACAATCTTCCACGGCAGAGACCAGGACCTGATGAGGGGCCCGGCCCAGGGCAGGTAACTGTCTCTTCTCAGAATCCAGCAGGGACTCAGGGGCATCACAGAAGCCAGACGTCTCCCGTGACCCCCTCCCACTGGCTCAGCCCCTGCCCTTCTCTCTGGGCCCCCTTTGGTCTGCCCTGTCAAATGGCTTTCCTTGGGGATCCTCTCCCTCTCCTAACAGACTTGGGGGCAGCTCCACAGTCTCTGGTTTGGGGTTTCATGGGTAATCACTGCAGGGAACTAAAAAAGTTACAAATACAGGGAAGTAACAGCTTCTGTAAAATCACAGAATTCTCAGAGTGCTTGTTCCCTTTCTGAAGGGACAAGATGGAAGCTTCCACACATGACAGTTCCTCTTCATTATTGATCTTCCTGGAGCAATCAATGAGCGTGGCTCTCTTTCACTCAAACACCTTCAATAGCTCCCCGTGGCCCAACGAAGTCCAGACTCTCTAGTGTGGCCTCGGGCCCACCCTGAGCTGATTCAAACCTCTCCTGCGGCCTCTCCCATTGCCCTCCGAGGCCAGTCTACCCCTGTGTGGGCCACAGGCTTGCCAACCCTCCAACAGGGCACAAGGGTTCCCTTTTGTCTGCATCATTGCCAATCCTGTCTTTCTGAGAACAGCCATTCTGACAGGTGTCGGTGCTAGCTCCTTGTGGTCTTCATTTGTATTTCCCGGATGCTGTGTATCACTTCATGTACCTGTTGGCCATTTGTATAGCTTCTTTGGAAAAATGTCTATTCATTCCTCTGCCCATTTTGTTGTTGTTGTGCAACCATCATCGTTATCTATTTCCAAAACTTAAAAAAAATTATCTTTATTGTTGAAAGTATTACAGATGTCCCCCATTTTTCTCCCTATTAACCCCCTCTCCCCTCCCCGCCCATGCCTCCACCACACTATTGTCTATGTCCACTGGTTGTGCATATATGGTTTATCTCTTCCTCCCTCTTCCCCCTTCCCTCTGAGGTTCATCAGTCTGTTCCCTACTTCCATGTCTCCGGATGTATTTTGTTCATCAGTTTATTTTGTTCATTAGATTTCACATATAAGTGAGATCATGTGATTCTTGTCTTTCTCTGACTGGTTTATTTTGCTTAGAATGATCCTCTCCAGGTCCCTCCATGCTGTCTTAAGGGTTTTTTGTTTGTTTGGCTTTTGCTATTAAGTTATATGATTTCCTTATATATTTTGGATATTAATGCCTTGTCAGATATATGATTTGCAAATATATTCTCCCATTCTGTAGGTTGCCTTTTCGTTTTGTTGACCATGTCTTTGGCTGCTCAGGAGCCCTGCCTGTCACTTCCTTTGGCACCATCCTTACCACTTAGAATGCCCAGCTCCCTGTGCCTAAAGGGCAAACTCTTGCTCTTACTTGCAGCCCAGCACAAAGCCACTTCCTCCAAGAAGGCTTCCTGATCTCTCAGCTGGCAATGATTTCTCTTCCCAGTCCACGTTTGTGCCTTTG